TATCCCAGCCAGGAGTGTCCCTGTCCATCAGTGATTTTCCAGCCCAGTAACTCGGGGCTCTGTGGGGCTGTGCTGCCACATGCTGTGTCCTGCATGAACAAACCAGATGGCTTCTTGTGCCTTGGAAGAACCTCACAGTTCCAGCAGAAATGGCAAGGCCTGCAGGAGGGAAAGCTTTATGTTTCAATACCATTTGTTTTCCTAAACTATTGGATTCATTTTTAATGAAACTGCGTTATTTGGGCAGGTTTTTGCAGAATCTTCCAGAGCAGCTTTGGATCCACTGGATTTATGGAGATAAAAAAAGGAACCATTGACTTGTTTAGAATTTCCCTGCAGAGCTGTAATCGCTGGGAAGTTACAGTCCATGCCCTGGCTCTTAGCCAAGTGGGTTTTCCTTCCACCCTCCGAGGCTGGCGTCAGTTTTGGTTTGTAAAGATCTTGCACAATCATCTGAGTGCAGGACGTGTACAAACATCAGTGAGACATCCAAACCTCTGGGTTTTGGGGAAGCTGCTGCTGGAAGGTGCATGGTGCTTCCCAAAGATGTTCCTGGACTTGCTGGAGATGCAGAAATAACATTTTAGGGTATTTTTTGTGCACAGTTGCTTTTGCTTCGCTTACTTATCCTATAAATGATGAGAACAGGGTTTGAAATGGTAAAGATAAATTAGAAGAATTGTCAGAAGTGGTTAAAATGTGCTTTAAAAGATGTTGCCAGTCTGAGTAAGCATGAAAGGTTTGTCTTTTCTCTTCTAGGGGTCAGGTGTGTCCCCCTGAAATCACTTCTAGGTCACTCCTCTTCCTAGGAAAAGGCACAGGGGAACAAAGGAGTATTTCTGATTAATTATGTTTGACTGCTGAGGAGAGGGATTCAGAATATGAACCAGGAGAACACAGAAATGAGTAAGAGCATCAGCTATTTTGGCTAGACAGGGAGAGGAGGGGATTCAATCAGTCATTGTGGGGTCCTTGTTCAAATTAGGAAAGGAAAAATGCTTCATATTTTTATTGAAATCGGAGTTGAGCAAATATAAGCACCTTTATGTTATGAGTAAGTTTAAATTTATACTTTAACAAAACATATATGACAGTTCAGAAATTATTTTAGATGATTTCAGTCAAATGTCAGTTGAAGCCAGATGAGTTCAGAAGCCCAAAGCAAGGAAGTGCCAAAGCCAATGGACATCAGTAACTTTTTCTGCCAGCACAGGTATGCCCTCAATTTTTATTCAACATCTTCATCCCAGTTATGTTATTTATTAAAGTTACATTTTCAGGAGTGAATGAACTGACAAAGGAGGAAAGCATTTCCTTGGAACACCAGGAATAGTTGTTCCTTCTCATCAGAAAAATGACAGAAAGTCACTGAACCTCCTTCCATGTGTCAAACACCACTCAGATCAGCCCATGCCCCAAACCGGTTTTCTGGTTTATTTTAATTACAAGTTATTTCTGACCATAAATAGGTGTGGGCACAATTTTATCCTCGTGCAGCAACTGCAGTTTAATCAGTGACATCAAATACTTGTCCTCTAATGACATGCAACACCAAGAACCTGAAGCAAGTCAGATTTAATAAGTGGTAAATGAACTTTTCTCTCTCTGTTCCTGCTGGCGAGGCTGCAGCTCGGTGCAAACCAAGGTCTGGAAGTGGCTCTCAAGCCCTGAAGGTCAGAAGCTCCTTTGGAGTGTTCCTTGTAGGTGGAATTCCAGAATGAAGCAGAACAAGGGGAGGCAGCAGCAGTGTGGCTGAGGAGGCCATGCTGAGCACAGCTGTGCCTGTGGAGCCGTCCCTGGGCCGTTACCTACAGCTGATGAGCTCCAAGAAGAGCGAAACCTGCTAAGCAAGGTCCTGTAGTATTGGCCTGAAGCTGGGGGCACCTGCAGGGAGCCAGAGGGCACAGCCAGCACAGCACAGGGCAGCCAGGGGGGTACAAATCTCACCTGGGCACAGCTCTGACAGGGACAGCCCTGGCACAGAGCAGTGGGGGAGAAACAGGGAGAGAAAAAAGGTGTCAACCAAGGGAAACAAGAAAAATGTCAGGATATTAAAGGGATTTTAGGTGGTGGCTGAGTGCAGAGTTTTCCACAGTAGTTGGTGTGGAGTTTATAAATTGACTTTGCTGTTCACTCTGTCTCAGGGTGCTCCTGAGGCCTGACAAGTGTTGGACCTGTTGAAGGGGGGAGAGGTGGGAGTATGAAGGGAAACTAGGAAATTTTGGAAGTTCACATCAGGCACAGTCAGTTTTCCAAGGTGCTGCATCGCTTCTGCTTTTAGTTGAACTTTGCTTTTCAATAGGGATTTCCAAAGAACTGGATTTCCTGTCCCTGGCAGTGCCAAAGGCCAGGCTGGACACTGAGCTGGGAGCAGCCTGGGACAGTGGGAGGTGTCCTGGTGGCCCTGGGTGGGCTCTGAGGTCCCTCCAACCCATCCTGGGATTCTGTATTGGGGTGGTTTCCCCTCCATGTGCCCAGGGAATGTGAGCAGCCACCTCAGGAATTCTTGGCTGCCACATCATTCCAGCCCTCTTGTGTTTCCTGGCACTTCGCTCATGGATTTTGCTTCAATTTTTTAAAAAGCAAGGAACCAGCAAACAAGGAAGCAAAACCCACCCCAAAAATCCTCACCAAACCCCAAACCCTGCCTCCCCAGCCCCTTCAAAGAACCCAACCTAACAAACCAAACCAGCTCAGGCCAAGCTGCTGTTTCCCTTCCGTGTTTTGGGAGCTGAGCACTGTAATTTGCATCCCAAACATAATTGCAGTTCTTGTGGGTTTGGTTCATTCCCGTTTTGAACTCGAGAAAGACTCCCCATCTTCCTTCTTCCCAGCCTCATCACCGAGGGATCCTTCTGGATCTGATGGTTCAGGGATTAAAAACAGGTTTGTCAATTATTCTGATAGAACCTAATTTCCACCACTTTTCCAAATATTTGGCAGTGATGTGGGAGTTGGGCTCTGCTCCCAGGGAACAGGGACAGGACAAGGGGAAATGGCCTCAGGCTGGGCCAGGGCAGGCTCAGCTTGGACAGCAGCAGGAATTTCTGCCTGGAAAGGGAGCTCAGGCCTTGGCAGGGGCTGCCCAGGGAGCTGCTGGAGTCTCATCCCTGGAGGTGTGCAGGGAATTCCTGGATGTGGCACTCAGAGCTCTGGGCTGGGGACAAGGTGGGGATCAGGCACAGCTGGGGCTCCCTGGGCTGGGAGGGATTTTCCTACTGAAGGATTCTGGGATCATGGAGAGAGCAGATCCCTCATTCTGGTCTCATTTCAGGCAGGAGCTGAGTCCCTCCTTTCCCTTGCAGAGGGCACAGAGGGTGAGCCTCAGCTCCTCTGGAATGGAATTGGGTCTGTCTCGGTCACGCTGAGCTCATTATCCAGGAATTCTGTGTGGCAGCGTTGGCTCTGGGAGTGACCCCTGGAACTCCTGTCCTGGCATGTGCAGGTGCCTCTCTGTGCCAGCCTGAGCACAGCAGCTGGGGCTGATCCATCCCTGGCAGTGCCCAAGGCCAGGCTGCACACTGGGACAGTGGGAGGTGTCCCTGCCATGGCAGGGGTGACACTGGAGGGGCTCTGGGGTCCCTCCCACCCAGCCCAGTCTGGGATTCCATGAGTGAGGAATCTCTGGGGACAGAAGTCATGGTGCTGTCAGGTGCTTTGTGCAGAATGAGATGGGATTGGAAGCTTGTATGCCCAAAACTCCCAACTTCACAAGTCATAAAAAGCACCACTGAGCCTTTTTCCTGTTAAATAAACCCAATAACAACACAGCAGCACATTGGTTCTGAGGCTATGGCTTTCTGAAGTAGGAAAAGCCAAGGAAATGCAGTGTATTTTCAGGTCAGAGCCCACGTGCTTGCTTTCCTTTCTGAAAAGCAAAAAGCCTTTGGTGGTTTGCAGGCTGTGGGGTTCCAGCAGGAAATGTGGAAGTGCTAGAGCTGTGCCAAGGCTGCTCCTCAGGGATGTGTGCCAGGGCCAAGGCACGACTTCGCTGCTGCTCCTGCTGCAGGCTGGGCTGGGGAGGCTGAGCCAACTGCCTCCTGTAGGTCTGGATGGAACTGGAGAAGGATTGTTTGGGATTTTTGTCTTTTTTGGGGGTTAGACACATAAAACCTATACTTAATGGATTTTAAGTTGGTGAATCTGGTAACCAGAGAATAATGTATTCATTAGCTGAAATATGAATTAGATTTTACACTGATGCTGAATTAACTTGGCTTTTTTTGCTGCAGGGGACTGAAATTTAGCATCTTTTTAGGACTGTGTAGTGAAATAAGCCCTGAGAGCTGCTGAATTGTCCCTGTGCCCCCTTACCTTGGAGTACAAGCTCTTCCCTGCTCCTGTTCCTCTTTTAATCTGTTTTCCTGGCAAAGGGAGGCCTCTGTCACCAAACTGTTTTTATTTCCAGCTTAATTAGCTGGAAGTTCTTTACTTCCCTGACAAATCCCATTTGACCTCAGGTGTTTGGGTTCAAAGTTAAATGAATTTTAAGAAGTTTTGTTTAAAGCCAACGTTCCCCCAAACCCAGCATCCCCACAAATCCTGGGATTTTTCCCAACTAAAGGATTCTGTGATCCTGCAGGAAAGAGGGGTCACTGGCCCCTGTCAGCCAGGCAGGGAATGGGATCAGCTTGTTCCTCCTGCCCAAGGTGTCCAACATCTCCCCTGCTCCTGACTCACTCTGTGTTTTGCAAACAAAACCCTTTGGAACACAGAGGAATTCCTTCTGGAATATTTCTGCTGTATTAACGCAGCTCTGAGCTTTTCAAACTAAATTCAGGTGTTGAGAATTGATGTTTCCTGTGCCTTGGAAGGTGTTAACAAGCCTGAGGTGTGTGTGTGGAATGGGATAATGCTGAGAAGTGTCTGTTTGTGTCCTGGAATTCCCAAACAGAAGCAGACTGTTCCTGCTGAGGGACAGAATCCTGCTGTTCACAGCAAGTCGCTCTTGTGACAGCAATTCTAACACAAACAGCGTTTTTTGCCATTTTTGTCTCCAGAATGATTGAGGAGAGTGGGAAGAGGAGGAGGACCATGGCAGAGAAGAGGCAGCTGTTCATGGAAATGAGTAAGTAGGAAATCTGAAGACATAATGTCATTTATTCTTCACTGAGAGCTTCCCTGTGACAGCTGCACCAGATCATCCCCGCCCTGTCCCACAAGCCCCACGCAGGGAAAATCAGCAGGAGATGCCCAAGGGCAGTCCCAGCTGCCTGGGAAGGTCATTATTATCCCTAGGTTTTGGGAAGCTCCTTCCTGAGGGAATGGTCACATCTCTCGTCTGTGCCAATGCCTAAGGTCTGTGGGCAACTATTGAAATGAACAGTGACAACAGACAGAGCACCCTGGGCCTTAAAAAAAAGATAAAGGATGGCCCTGCAATGCTGGTGTGACTTGAGAAATGGTTTGGGGGCTGATTTGTGCAGGATCCAACTCTGGAAGAGTTAAGAATTTGTGTTTGTGTGACATCACATTATCCTGCTGTCCTGCAAGGGGCTGAAGGGAGTTTCTGGATTAGGCCAACATGTCCTAAATTCCAGTCCCAGACTGAGGGAGCTCCAATTTAAAACTGCATATTTGTACTGGTTTGTTTCCAGGGTGGTGTTGTTGTGGAATCATGGAGAGGTCTGGGTGGGAAAAGGCCTTAAATCCCACCCCATTCCCCCCCTGCCACGGCAGGGACACCTCCCACTGTCCCAGTGTCCAGCCTGGCCTTGGGCACTGCCAGGGATCCAGGGGCAGCCCCAGCTGCTCTGGGCACCCTGTGCCAGGGCCTGCCCACCCTGCCAGGGAACAATTCCTGCCCCAAATCCCATCCAGCCCTGCCCTCTGGCACTGGCAGCCATTCCCTGGCTCCTGGCCCTCCAGCCCTTGTCCCCAGTCCCTCTCCAGCTCTCCTGGAGCTCCTCCAGGTACTGCAAGGCTGCAGGTTGGTCACCTCAGAGCCTTCTCCCCTCCAGGCTGAACAATCCCAGTTCTTTCAGCCTTTCCTTACAGCAGAGCTGCTCCATCCCTCTGATCACCTTGGAGCCTCCTCTGGGCTCTCTCCAGCAGCTCCAGCTCCTTGTGCTGTTGGGATCCCCAGGGCTGGGGTCCCTCGTGTGTGCTGTGGCTGGGGAGGTGTCACAGGAGACCCTCGAGCCTTTTTCCAAGTCCTCCTCTCAGCAGCATCAGGTTTGCTGGGTGTTGCAGAGGGAAGCAAAGCCCCAAACCTGTGGTTTGTTGCAGGAGCCCAGAACTTCGACGTGATCCGGCTCTCCACGTACAGAACCGCCTGCAAGCTGCGCTTCGTGCAGAAGAGGTGCAACCGTGAGTGGTGTCCAGGCTCCTCCTCACACCCTGCTCCTGCCTGCAGGGCTGCTGCAGTGCTCACCCAGCCCCTCTGCACTGGGGTCAGGCCCTGCCAGCTCTGCCTTCAGCACAGATCTAATACACAATTAAATATGGAATTAAAAAGGGGCAGCGATCCTGGCCTCTGTGGTATCTTCACGTTTGCTCTTCAGGAGATGTGAAGTCCAAGGGCAGCTGTGGTGCCCTCAGAGCTGGTGTAGATGGTCTCAAGCTGTGTGAGGGCTGTCTCCTGACTGGGAACCCAGAGCACCCCAGGGAGCACAGGGGACACGTGTGACATGCAGAGCTCTGGGCACTGCAGGCTGTCCCCTCTCTGCCCTGGGCTGGGACAGCTCCAGGGCACTGCTGGATCCCAGGGGAGCAGGATGCACTTGGTGCCCTGCCCTGCTGGGCTGGACACAGCAAGGAGCCCAGCAGGACAGGTGTGGGAGGAGATCCCAAATCAGGGCACAGCAACTGTGCCTGCGCTGAGGAGGAGGAAGAGGAGGCCAGCAGAAGGGCTGGGGAGGAGGAAGAGGAGGCCAGCAGAAGGGCTGGGGAGGAGGAAGAGGAGGCCGGGAGAAGGGCTGGGGAGGAGGAAGAGGAGGCCAGGAGAAGGGCTGGGGAGGAGGAAGAGGAGGCCAGGAGAAGGGCTGGGGAGGAGGAACACGTGTCCCTGCTGTGTCCCTGGGCTGTGGTGGCCATGGCCAGCTGCCTTTGCTCAGCCTGGGCACAGTGTCTCTGCTGGCTGCAGTTGCAGGTTTTGGATGAAATCTCTGTTTTCCAGCAGGGAGCACAAAGCAGTGCCAGCCCCCGAGCTCTGTGCACCAGCCCTGGGCCCTTTGCTACCCTGGCCTGGGGTACAGCTCAGGGCTCTCTCTGCTCACAGGCTGCTCCAGGGGGTGGGGACAGCCTGGCTTTGCTCCTTGTGGGGGTTTTCTGGGAGAAATAGAAAACGAGTTTAGTGTAAGAAAGGCACGAGTTTCACTGCAGACCCTTCTGGGGGGAGGTGAGCAGTGAATTCACCATGGCCCTCCTCTGGGTGCTGGGTCACGGTCAGTTTGGGTGGCTGCTGATCCTCAGGTGTCTTCTCCACCCTCCTGCAAACCTTAAAGCTTGGGAACATTTGGAAATATTGTTTAATGTGGTTCTGCAGATCACTCACTGTGGTTTGGAAAAGGTTTTCTCCTCGTTGTTAACACTCCTTAGATCCAGCAGGGAAATTTGGGGGAGCGCTTTGGAGCCCCAGACCTGTGTTTAACAAACATTATACTCTGGGTTTGGGAACTGGATCAACTGGAAACACTCAGAGTTTAACTGGAACATCAAGTTCCTCCTTCAATACTCTACGAGTCAGCATGAGGGTGTTCAAAATTTATCCAACAAAACTGTCAACAGTTTGTAGTGGATTTAGAGTATCATCAGATCCCAGAGGGGTTTGGGTTTGGGGAGGGACCCCAGAGCCCCTCCAGTGTCACCCCTGCCATGGCAGGGACACCTCCCACTGTCCCAGTGTCCAGCCTGGCCTTGGGCACTGCCAGGGATCCAGGGGCAGCCCCAGCTGCTCTGGGCACCCTGTGCCAGGGCCTGCCCACCCTGCCAGGAGCAATTCTGGTGCCTAAACCACTGCATGCTCGGGGGAGAGGGCTCTGCTCCTTCAGGAACTGTTCCTGGCAGAGACCCAGGTGTGGAAGGGTGGAGTAAGAGCCACGTCTGGGCCCTGCAGTGTCCCTTGAGGAGCTGTGGGGACGAGCTGAGTGTCTCACTGTGCACAGCAGCTGCTCCTGCCCGAGGGGAGCTGACCCTGTGCACAGGCAGTGCCAGCACAGCGGGCTTGCACCCTTGCAGAACGGCAGTTAATTGTTTTTCCTTCCTTTTCAGTTCACCTGGTTGATATCTGGAATATGATCGAAGCCTTCCGAGACAACGGCCTTAACACCTTGGATCACGGGGCGGAGATCAACGTGTCCCGCCTGGAAACCATCATCTCCTCCATCTACTACCAGCTCAACAAGCGCCTGCCCTCCACCCACCAGATCAGCGTGGAGCAGTCCATCAGCCTCCTCCTCAACTTCATGGTAGCAGCCTACGACAGGCCAGTACTGCCTCCTCCTCCTCCTGCATCCCTGGGCTGCTCTGTGAGCGTGGCCAGAGCTGCTCTGGGGGAGCTGCAGCCTCTGGCACTGCTGGGAGCCCTGTTCTCAGCTGGGCCTGGCACCTCCTGGGGGCTCAGTGCTTGGGAAGCCAGCTGGCTCTTGCTCAGAGAGACCCTTTTTAAACTCAGCCCTGTTTGCACAGTCAGTTTGCAGCCCCCTCCAGTGTGCTGTGACCCCATAGAGCTGATTCTCATTTCCTGGCTGGAAAATGAGCTCATTTCTTGCTCAGGGTTCTGTCTGGGCATCTCCTCGTGTCCAGTTTTCTGCGTTTCTCTCACAGGCTCTCCCTGCAGCGTTTGCTGATCCTGAGTAGCTGTGCCCTGAGTGTTCTCTGAGCAGCAGCTGCAGGTCCTTTGCTGTGGTTGCCATTTCTGACTTTTGCTCTTGCCTTTCTCCAAATCAGCTTTTATTTCACCTTGGTTTCTGCTTCTACCCTGGATTTACCCAGCCCTGAGTGTGCCCAAGATGTGTTCTGTTTGTCATGTCCAGACTTTGATGCTCTCCTGATGGGACAATTTGTTTTTGTCACCTCACAGACACTGAGTGTGTCCCTCAGAGAGCCCAGAGCTGAGGGCAGTCCCCGTCTCACTGAGGACAAATAAAACCAGCACGGGGCTCAGAGCAGGTTCTGTGCCAGCAGAACCCAGGGGAGTTCCATTCAGTGCTGCTTTAATGTTAGTTGAGACAAGTTTGGTCACTGTGAGACAGCTCACACTGAAGAACACAGGATTTAGCCCCAGGAATGGGCATGTTTGGAGGAGCTGCCCCAGAAGATGGAGGCAGGGTTTTGTTCCCCACTGTCCCCCAGCCCTGGGAGTTGTGCCTCGTGTGGGAGCAGCTCCTGGATCCCGGCAGGGTCTGCCTCCCTGTGCCCTGGGCTCAGGCTCCCTCTCCAGGAGCTCAGCAGCACGGCAGGCAGGCAGCCTTCTGTGAACTCTGCCCATCCACGCTGGAATTGCATCCCTGTGCTGCTGGAATGTCACACAGTTCTCACTCTGAGTGTGGGGAGAGCTCAGAGCCCCTCCAGGGCCCAGAGGGGCTCCAGGAGAGTGGAGAGAAGGATTTTGGACAAGGGCTGGAGGGCCAGGAGCCAGGGAATGGCTGCCAGTGGCAGAGGGCAGGGCTGGATGGGATTTGGGGCAGGAATTGTTCCCTGGCAGGGTGGGCAGGCCCTGGCACAGGGTGCCCAGAGCAGCTGGGGCTGCCCCTGGATCCCTGGCAGTGCCCAAGGCCAGGCTGCACACTGGGACAGTGGGAGGTGTCCCTGCCATGGCAGGGGTGCCACTGGAGGGGCTCTGGGGTCCCTTCCCACCCAACCCATTTCCTGTCCCTCCAGGCCCTTGTCCAAAGCCCCTCTCCAGCTCTCTCAGAGCCCCCCTTCAGGAGAATTCTGCTTTTCCAGCTCTGCCCACACCCACCCTGTGCTTTCTCCATCGCTGCATTTTCCATGCCACTACGAATTCCCTGTCCAGCACGTTTAGTTACAGTTCCTTGAAGCACTGGCAGTTCCTGAGGGTGATGGTTGTTATTCCCATTGTTCCTGGGTCCCTCTGGGGTGTTGGGATTGCTCCCTTCCCTGGGGAGTTGCTCACGGGTGCTTTTCCCTGCAGCGAGGGCCGCGGGAAGCTGACGGTGTTCTCGGTGAAAGCCATGCTGGCCACCATGTGTGGGGGGAAGATCCTGGACAAGCTCAGATGTGAGTACTCCCAAGCAATCCCAGTGTTTGTGGACTGTTTCCTCTCCTGTGCTCGTCGTATTGAGTTCTGGAGGCGTTTTGCTTTGTTTTTTATTGATTCTGTGATCTTTAAACTGACCTGGAGCTGTGCTGCAAACCCCAGAATTCCAGAGTCATTGAGGTGGGACAGTGCCTTCCAGCCCATCGAGTCCAGGCTGTGCCCAATCCCCACCTTGTCCCCAGAGCACTGAGTGCCACGTCCAGGCCTTCCTGGACACCTCCAGGGACGTTCTGTTGCATGTTCCAGCTCCTGGTTATCCCCAGCCCAGACTCAGGAGGCTCCCCAAGCCCATTTCTTTAGGTTAAGCTCTTGGGCACTTCTTGAAATGGAGAACTTGAGGGGTGATTTTCCAATAGGAATGTCCCAGCTGTCACCATGTCACTGCTTTGAGGATCCTGTGAATCTTCTGCTTCCCCTGAGGCTCTCTGCACCTTCTCACTCTGTAATTCCAGCTTCTGAGGTGGAATCCAGGGTGGTTTGGGTTGGAAGGGACCTTCAAGCCCATCCAATGTCCCCCCTGCCATGGGCAGGGACACCTCCCACTGTCCCAGGCTGCTCCAAACCCTGTCCCTTCCCCTGAGCCCTCCTGGGCTCAGTCCCTTTCCCCTCTGAGCAGGTTCCCCCCTGTCTCCAGCAGCTCTGGGCTGATGGAACTGACCCAGGATCCAAACACCAAATCCTGCTGGGCCAGGACACAGAGCAGGGTTCCTCAAGCTGGAGGGAAAACTGGTGGTGGAAGAAGGTTCTGTAAAATCCTGAGCAAGATGGGGAATTGCAAACAGCTGCTCCTTCCCTTCCAGCTGCTCCCTTCCCCTTCCAGGACAGGAACCCCGGGGCAGCCACTGGAATGAGCAGTGACAGATGGAGAAGCAGAGAGCAATTCTGCTTTAACTTTCCCAGAGGATGTGGTGGGTATCAAACACCCTCAGCCCCTGGCTGCTCCTGCAGCCACTTCCACTGAAGGCAGATCCATGAAAGGCTGCTGAGTGCCCAGGGATCTCAGGGAGGAAGGAATGTGCCTGCCCCAGCCATCTGCTCCGGGGAGGAACAGGCTCCTCTTCTCCCTGCCTCAGCTCTTCCCTGATTTCTTCTGAGTCTTCTGATCGTGCTGCTCTGGGTTCCCCCTTCCTTCCCCACGTGTCTCCCTGATTACTGACACACTTCACCCCCAGAATCTCCTTGTCCAGGAGGATCCCAGCCCAGCCTCCCCTCCCTGAGCAGGCTGGAGCTCTCTGGAAATGCTGGAGTTGTATTTTTAATGTTTTCTCATTCCATGGTCCCTGTGAGTGATGGGAGCTGGGTCTGTGCCCTTGCTGGGGACAGGATGACGTTGTGGCAGTGTCCCTGATGGACTGGCAGACTCGGTGGAGCCCTTCCCTGCCTCTGGAATTCCCTGGGGCGTGCTCTCGGTGCAGAGCAGCTCCTTGTGCTGCTGTGCAAGGCGGGGATCCCGGGATCTCTGAGGTGGGACAGTCCCTGCCAGCCCATGGAGTGCAGGCTGTGCCCAGTGCCCACCTGTCCAGGCCTTCCTGGGGCACCTCCAGGGATGAGACTCCAAACCTCCTGACTGCCCTTTCCATGCAGAAATTCCTCCTGATCTCCAGCCTGGCCCAGCCTGAGGCCCTTCCCCCTCCTCCTGTCACCAGTTTCCCTTTGAAAGGATGGAATTATATCCTGCTTTTTATCCTGTCCAATTTCCCAGCTAATTCCCCATGTGGAAGTTTCCCACTTTGACAAGAAACCCGATATTTTAACTGCAGCACAAACGTTGGTTTGGAGGGATTCTTCATTTACCCTTGGCACAGCCTGGGCTGTTCTCTCTCATTTGCATATTCAGATTTCCATACCTTTCATTTCTCTCTCGTTAGGATCACTTGACTCCTGCTGCCTGCTCAGCTCAGATGAAGGTTCTGAGCACACCCAGGAGTTTCCAGCCTGTTTTAAATGCAATTGTTGTGTCCTACCCATCCCTCCTTGCCAGGTCCAGTGCAGACCCCCAGCTCCTGTGCAGGGGCCACTTCTGCAGGGATTCTGCATTAGGCTTCTGGATTTTTACCTCTCTAATCTAGTTGTTCCCATTGTTTTCATTTTGTGGGCATTTTCATCCTGACTTTTTTTTTCCCATATTCTGTTTACAGGTTAAGTCTAATTTTTCTGGCTTCTGTATTTTTCTAAACTATAGAAATGCACCATTTGAAATATATTTTTCTTCCCCCCCATTTCTCCTAATATGTTTTATTTTATAACATTGTTCCAGAGACCTTCAGTTCAAGCTGCTCTGTTTAATCAGTGATACAAAATCCAGGTAGCTTTATCCCTCTTTTCTGAGGCATTGCAGTCTTCTTCCTGAGCTCATTCTTTCAGGAAATTGGGATAATTTCTGCAGTTTACTGGAAACATGCCTTTCCAAAAGTGTCGTTTTTTTTCTGAAGCTGGTTTTGATCACTGAAATGAAGGTTGTTTTCTGCCAGCATGAGCTTTTTGATGTTTAATTACTGATGGTGCCTGAAATAACAGCAGAGGGGGTTCGGTGCTACTGAGGAGATCTGGGATCTGTCACGTCTTGGGGAGTTCTAGGTCTTGTTACCATTGGTGAAACCTCCCTTCAGAGCTCTGGGGGTGCAGCAGGGGCCCTCTGGCTGTCTGAGAGATCTTTCCTGGGATGCCAGGGCAGTTCTGTTTCCTGGGACATCGTTCTGTCAGGCTCTGCATCCCTGCCCCTGGGATGTGCCTCTGCTGGGCCACCAGCCCTGGGGATCAGGGGCTTGGGAGGCTTTGTCCTTCAGAGAGAGGAGCAGGGACAGGGACTGGGACACCTGCAGCACCTCCCTCCTCTCCCTCTGTCCTTACAAACATCAGGGAACATCTGCTCAGCCCCTTTTTGCTTCCAGGAGCACATTTGTCCCTTCAGAGCTGCTTAAAAAGTGTAAACTCCTCTCATCACAAACGTTCTCAGAATCCCAGAATGGTTTGGGCTGGAAAGGACCTTAAATCCCAGCCCTGCCATGGCAGGGACACCTCCCACTGTCCCAGTGTCCAGCCTGGCCTTGGGCACTGCCAGGGATCCAGGGGCAGCCCCAGCTGCTCTGGGCACCCTGTGCCAGGGCCTGCCCACCCTGCCAGGGAACAATTCCTGCTCAAATCTCAGATCCAAAATGGGATCCAATTCCCCTTCCCAGTGCCCAGCTGTGCAGTGCCTGGGGGTGAGGTCAGTGCCTTCAGCTTCCAAAGGTTCCTGGTAAAGCTGGGAAGGGGCTGGAGCCCCAGGAGAGGCTGAGGGAGCTGGGAAAGGGGCTCAGCCTGGAGAAAAGGAGGCTCCGGGGGGACCTTGTGGCTCTGCACAAGTCCCTGCCAGGAGGGGACAGCCAGGAGGGCTCGGGCTCTGCTCCCAGGGAACAGGGACAGGACAAGGGGAAATGGCCTCAGGCTGGGCCAGGGCAGGCTCAGCTTGGACAGCAGCAGGAATTTCTGCCTGGAAAGGGAGCTCAGGCCTTGGCAGGGGCTGCCCAGGGAGCTGCTGGAGTCTCATCCCTGGAGGTGTGCAGGGAATTCCTGGATGTGGCACTCAGAGCTCTGGGCTGGGGACAAGGTGGGGATCAGGCACAGCTGGGGCTCCATGGGCTGGGAGGGATTGTCCAGCCTCAGGGATCCTGGGATGTTGGCTCCTGCCATCCCCCATGCCCTTGGTGCACACATTTCCCTGGAGTTGTGCCAGCTTTGGCTCTGTCACTGTTTTTCATTCTGGGAGCCCCCTCTGAGGGGTTTCTGTGGTTTTGGGGTCCAGGTGTGCTCCTGTGGAATTCTCCTGCTCCCTCACTGTCCCAGTTCATGGCAGGAGTTTTCCTCTGGCCTGGGTGGGATGGGATGGAGGAAATGGGGAGACTTCTGGGAATACTGACATGGGTAAATCCTTGCTGGCCGTGATCAGAGACTGGTGTGAGTCAAGCACGAAGAAACAGCTCGGGGTGCAGAGGGCGGGGCGTTTTCCCACAGTGAACCCACATTTACTGGGGGGTTTTATTGTATTTTCTTACAGATATTTTCTCTCAGATCTCAGATTCCAACGGGCTGATGATTTTCACCAAGTTTGACCAGTTCCTGAGGGAAGTGCTGAAGCTGCCCACGGCCGTGTTCGAGGGCCCCTCCTTCGGCTACACGGAGCACTCGGTGCGCACCTGCTTCCCCCAGCAGGTCAGGACTGGGGTTTGGGGTTTGGGGTTTGGGACTGGGGGCTTGGGACTCGGGGTTTGGGGTTTGGGGTTTGGGACTGGGGATTTGGGGTTTGGGACTGGGGATTTGGGGTTTGGGACTGGGGGTTTGGGGTTTGGGACTGGGGGTTTGGGGTTTGGGACTGGGGATTTGGGGTTTGGGACTCGGGGTTTGGGGTTTGGGACTGGGGATTTGGGGTTTGGGACTCGGGGTTTGGGGCTCGGGTTTTGGGACTTGGGACTCAAGGTTTGGGACTTGGGACTCAGGGTTTGGAATTTGGGGTTTGGGATTTGAGGTTTGGGATTCCCAGGACATTGGGGCTGGTGGTCACTGAGGTCCCCTGTAGCACCCCAGCACTTTGAAACAGTCCAGAATAAGCAGTTCAAGGGTTTTCTGGCATTTCAGTTGATTCCCCTCCTTGAAGGGCCACCCCTATTCCCCGTCAGAAGAGCAGGAATGACTCATTTCTTTTCCAAAACATAAAATATGCCATTTTTACTATTTCCCCTTGATTTTTCAAAGCTTTTTCACTGTGTTAAGACAATTAGTTTCAACAAGTCACTTCCAGGATCTGTTCAAAATAAACACCTTCTGTGCAGCAGTTAATTTTTAAATCCATTGCACTTGTATTTTAATTGTTCAATGATTTGTTTCTCGTTTGAGGTAGTGTAAATAACATAACTAATCCTTCAATCAACTATAAACATGAACTTGATTGATCTTAGGCCTAAAATTAAATGTTTAGACTCTGGGCATGATGATGCTCCAGAAGAATCATTTCTGTAGCATTTGATGTAAAATTTATAGTGACTAAATATAAGTTAATTAGCAATTAGCATGTTTGGAATATGACACAGTAGGAAGCAGCCTTTGATTTCAGAATCAATGAGGCTCCAGGTTTACATCTGGTATTGGGAAGGAATTCCTGGCTGGCAGGGTGGGCAGGCCCTGGATCCCTGGCAGTGCCCAAGGCCAGGCTGGACACTGGGACAGTGGGAGGTGTCCCTGCCATGGCAGGGGTGACACTGGAGGGGCTCTGGGGTCCCTCCAACCCAACCCATTCCCTGATTCCATGACTATGACAATACAGGAAATATTCCTGGTGGGCAGAGTTTGTGTCCCAGGGAAGTTTTAGGGCTGGAGAAGCCCTTGCAGTAGGAAATGGGTGTTGCTGTCTGCAATGCAGTGCTGCCTGTGTTCCCCCTGCAGAAGAAGGTGATGCTGAACATGTTCCTGGACACGCTGATGGCTGACCCTCCTCCCCAGTGCCTTGTGTGGCTGCCCCTCATGCACAGACTCGCCCACGTTGAAAATGGTTCGTGGAATGTTTGTGTTCTGTTCTTAGCTCTGTCTGTGTGTGTCTGTGTGCTCTGCTCACACGTGGGAATGCTCTGTCCCTGCTCATGTCACCAGCACCTCGTGCCTCCCCCTGTGCTGTCCCACAGCATCCCAGACCTGGCTGGGCTCAGAGCCTGCGAGCTGGGATGGGCTCTGCCTGGGGGTGGAAGCAGCAAGGGTGCAAACCCGATGGGTTTCAGTGTTACAGCAGCCAGTGGAAGAAAATCCACATTCTTGGAATGCTCCTGAGCCCCAGGAGAGGCTGAGGGAGCTGGGAAGGGGCTGGAGCGTGTCCAGGGCAGGGAACGGAGCTGGGAAGGGGCTGGAGCCCCAGGAGAGGCTGAGGGAGCTGGGAAAGGGGCTCAGCCTGGAGAAAAGGAGGCTCCGGGGGGACCTTGTGGCTCTGCACAAGTCCCTGCCAGGAGGGGACAGCCAGGAGGGCTCGGGCTCTGCTCCCAGGGAACAGGGACAGGACAAGGGGAAATGGCCTCAGGCTGGGCCAGGGCAGGCTCAGCTTGGACAGCAGCAGGAATTTCTGCCTGGAAAGGGAGCTCAGGCCTTGGCAGGGGCTGCCCAGGGAGCTGCTGGAGTCTCATCCCTGGAGGTGTGCAGGGAATTCCTGGATGTGGCACTCAGAGCTCTGGGCTGGGGACAAGGTGGGGATCAGGCACAGCTGGGGCTCCCTGGGCTGGGAGGGATTTTCCAATGCCAGGGATCCCAGGATTTTTAAATGAATTTTGATGGTGGCAGTTTCCTCGTGTCAAGCCCTGTGGGAAATGGTGCCCAGAAGGTGAGGAGGTTGATCTGGTGGAAATGTTAAAATGAACTCCAGGGAACAGGGGATCCTGATTTGATGCTGGCATTCCCTGGCAGCAGCCAGGAGCAGGGGGGGACCAGCTTGGCTGCTCCTCTTCACTTGGGTCTTTCCCATCCAGTGCTAAACTTTGGCCTTGGCAGAAAAATGAAAACAAACAAAAAAAAATACCACAAAAAACCTCCAGAAACAAAAACCTAAACAAACCACCCCCACAAAAACCTAAACAAACAAAAGCCAAGAAAAAAAACAACAACAGAAAATAAAAACCACGAGGAAAAAAACCAACAAAACAACCAGAAACCGAGACAGACAAAAAACCCAAAACAAGAAAAAACAACCCTGCAGGTAACCAGAACAATTCCCACCTCTTTTGTTCCCATCTTCCTGGTGCCTGATTTAATAATCCCTGATCCTGGCTGCTCCAGTCTTCTCCTTATCCATCCTTCTGAGGCCGTGCAGGACACTGAGTGCTGTCCCTGCTGTGCCTCGTGCTTTGTTATCTGTTCTTGCTTCCCCCATCAGGATATCAGGGTTTGCACTCTCTGCTGCTTCTGTTCCCTTCTATCAGCAGCAATCTCTGCTCCTGCACCAGCCAGGGAGGAGAAGGGACAGCTCTGAAAAGCTGGGGGAGGACTTCTCATGGAGCCAGGCTGGGAGAAGGATCCAGGGAGAGCTCAGAGCCCCTTGCAGGGCCCAAAGGGGCTCCAGGAGAGCTGGAGAGGGACTGGGGACAAGGGCTGGAGGGCCAGGAGCCAGGGAACGGCTTTAAGCTGGAAAAGGGTAGATTTAGATATTGATAGATATTAATAGATCTAGATATTTAGGGATATTGGGAAGAATTCCTGCCGGTGAGGATGGGGAGGCCCCAGTTCTGTTTTGTCCCTCGTGTTTCAGGGTGCATTTCCCTTGGGGAGGTCTCATCTTCCCCTCATGCTCACATTCCTCCTTGGTTTCTTCCAGACTGGAGTGGAGCAGGATTGTCCATCCGTGGGTGGGACAGGGGAGGAGCATTTGTTGCTGTTTGTTTTAGCCCACCCTGAGGGTGTGAACTGGGTTCAGCTCTGCAGTTCAGTTCACATTCAGAGGGACATTGGGAATTCCTCACTGGGAGCTCTGGAGGTGCAGGAGGGAGGGGTGAGAGGGGGTTTGGACCAGGAATTGGCCTTTCTGAAGAGGTGACAGGGCCCCAGGGATCTCCTGAGGCAGAATCCAGCCAAATCCTCCCGGTGAGATGCAGCTTTGCTGCTTCCCTGCCACTCCCCCTGTGCTCAGCTCTGTTGGACTTCCCTGGGGAATTGAGTGTGCCCAGGGAGGGAGACATCTGAAGGAATATTGTGGGAACTTGTCAGGTGGAACTGCTGTTATCATCGGCTTCATCTGAGGGTGAATGGTACCAAATTTCCCTGCTCTGCCCTCAAAATCCTGCCCGAAGACGGAGCACTGAGGGACCTGGGGGTGGTCTGCACGCTCCAGAGAAACAGGATGTTCCAGCTTTACCTAAAATCCACTGAAACCTTTTATTTATTTGGTTTTTTTTCCCTATCTGCCAGTCTTCCACCCCGTGGAGTGCTCGTACTGCCACTGTGAGAGCATGATGGGCTTCCGGTACCGGTGCCAGCAGTGCCACAACTACCAGCTGTGCCAGAGCTGCTTCTGGAGGGGCCACGCCAGCGGCACCCACAGCAACCAGCACCAGATGAAGGAGCACTCCTCCTGGGTAAGGGCATTCATCCTCCTGGGAAAGGGCACTGATCCTCCTGGGAAAGGGCATTCATCCTCCTGGGTAAGGACATTGATCCTGGGTAAGGACATTCATCCTCCTGGGAAAGGACACTGATCCTCCTGGGAAAGGGCACTGATCCTCCTGGGAAAGGGCATTGATCCTGGGCAGGGACACTGATCCTGGGAAAGGGACATTGATCCTGGGTGAGGGGTGTTCCTCCTGGGTGAGAGGTGTTCCTCCTGGGTGAGAGGTGTTCCTCCTGGGTGAGGGGTGTTTCTCCTGGGTGAGGGGTGTTCCTGCTGGGTCAGGGGTGTTCCTCCTGGGTGAGGGGTGTTCCTGCTGGGTCAGGGTTGTTCCTCCTGGGTGAGGGGTGTTCCAGCTGGGTGAGGGGTGTTCCAGCTGGGTGAGGGGTGTTCCAGCTGGGTCAGGGGTGTTGCAGCTGGGTGAGGGGTTTTCCTGCTGGGTTAGGGGTGTTCCAGCTGGGTGAGGGGTGTTCCTGCTGGGTTAGGGGTGTTCCTGCTGGGTGAGGGGTGTTCCTGCTGGGTTAGGGGTGTTCCTCCTGGGTAACTGGATCTGGAGCAGCCTCTCTGGGCTCCCTCAGCAGCGTTCAGGGTCTGGAGCAGAACTGCTCTGTGGGGCTTTTCCAGTTCTCCAAACACCAGAGGGTATAAAAGGGGAATTGGACTGGGTTTATTGTTTATTCCTGACGGGGACAAAGCTGGGCCCAGCTGGGGATGGAGGCACATCCAGCTGGGAACGGGCACCAGTGGGCTCAGGGCTGCCTCAGGCCTGCTCAGCACCTTCAGGGATGCTCTGGACACGGGGATGGAGGGCACCACCCTGGCTCAGCTCATGGACAGCCCCAGGGGGGTGGGATGTGGATCTGCAGAGGGCTCAGCACAGGCTGGATGGATCCATGGGCTGAGGGTCAACAAGGCCAAGTGCCACATCCAGCCCCTGGCTCTCCACAAGCCCCTGGAATGTTCCAGGCTGGGCCAGAGGGCCCTGGCACAGCCCCCAGGGAGGTTTGGAGTCCCTGGAGGTGGCACTCAGTGCCCTGGGCTGGGAACAAGCTGGGGATCAGGCACAGGTTGGACTCAGTGATCCTGGAGAGCTTTTCCAGCCTCAGTGAGTCTGGAATTACACCTGATGCTGGTTTTTGTAATTCCTGTCATCTCCCCAGAAAGCCAAAGCAGTGAGCAGGAGTCCTGTGCTTGGACAGGACCCTTGTGCAGTGACACCTGTAAAGGCATTACTGTGACAAACACTGCATTCTTCTCCTCCTGCCAGCTGTAAATGCCTGGAAAACTCGGAGTTCAGGAGCCTTACAGAAATATCTGAGCAGGGTGATCATCACAGCTCCACCAGTAATAGACAATTTTATGGGGAAAAACCTATTTTATGGCAAAAGATTAAGCCAAACCTTTCACTTACTCAGAGAGAAGTTCAGCTGATGATAGGATTATAATTAATAGTTATCTTCATAAGGAAGAGCCATTATAGCATTATGGTTTAATTTAGAAAATTGGGCTGAATACCAGGCAGGAGTTGGGAGGCAAAGGAAAATGCAATTGTCCTTTTTATAACTCTGTGGGTAATAAACTTCTGGAATGTTTAATCCCAGCTAAGAGTAGCTTATTATTCCCTTAAATGCACATAAATCCAGGCTGGGATTTTTAGTACAAAGAGAGGTCTAAGTGATGGAAACATGGAATGCTTTGGGTGGGAAGAGACATTAAAGCTCATCCAGTGCCATCCTTTTCATCTTTTCTTTTATTTTTTTTTTTTCCAACTTCCCCACATCTTTCATGTAAATTTTATGAATATTGAGTCTTAGTTAAAAGAAAAAATTCTTTTTTTTGTGTTTGGCCTGCATTGGTGGTTAAGGGAGTTCACCCTGCAATAACTGCTGGGGTGAAACCCCAGGGGCAGCAGGGAGAGGCTGCAGCTCTCCTGCAGTGAAACCAGAAATGTTCTTTCCTGGCTTTTCAGTCTAATTCACTCTTGCCTGGTGTATTTTCAAAGAGCCCTACGACCCAGAATGAGCTTAATAATAGATATCTCCATAATTATAATATGATCAATATACTTGTTGATAACAGTATTGTGTCTATAAATATTAATATATTATTATTTACATACTTACAGCTTTTTTTCCCTGAAATTCTGAGGTACCTTTGATAAATTTTTGATGCACATAGTATAGAGATATTTGATTTATATCTATAAATTTAACATAGTGATGAAATACATTAAAATCTGTAACCACAGGGATTTTATATGGATAAATAATAGGTGAAAACCTATTTTTGAAGGAGTGTTTTTGCTGCATGAACCCACTGCTCGTTTGGAGGGGTGAAAACCTTGAAAGCTTTCCCGGTTTTTCATTTCTGGGCTGTTTCAGTTTTGGTTCCAGGGCTGGTCACAGGAGCCAGAGCTGGGTGGTTCCTGCTGGAGCCTGAGGATCAGCCAGGCTCTGGCTGCTCTGTGACACTCGACAGTCTGTCACCCAAAATTCCAGGCTTGGATACCCATCCCGAGCTTGGCTGGGGAGCCTGGGCTGGGATCTGAGGGTTTAGGGGTGGGAAGGGTTCCCCTGGAAGAGAACAGGGTCTGGTATCTGCAGCTGGGGGGGTTTCACTCACAGCTGTTCCTGCCTGGTTCCATCTCCCCTTGGTGACCCCAGGGCTGAGCCCTGCCCAGCCCCAGCAGCCACGGGGTCCTCACCAGGAGCCCTGGAAATGCCATCCCAGGGAGGGGATCCACAGCCCCAGCAGCCTGGGAAGGGCCTGGGGGTGCTGTGCCAGCAGCTGGACAGGAGCCCAGGTGTGCCCAGGTGGGCAAGAGGCCACTGGCCCTGGGCTGTGCCAGCTCTGGGGTGGCAGCAGGGCCAGGGCAGTGCCCGTCCCCTGTGCTGGCACTGCTGGGGCACCTCCAGTGCTGGGGACAGCTCTGGGCCCCTCCTGCCAGGAGAGCCCTGGAGGGGCTGGAGCGTGTCCAGGGCAGGGAACGGAGCTGGGAAGGGGCTGGAGCCCCAGGAGAGGCTGAGGGAGCTGGGAAAGGGGCTCAGCCTGGAGAAAAGGAGGCTCCGGGGGGACCTTGTGGCTCTGCACAAGTCCCTGCCAGGAGGGGACAGCCAGGAGGGCTCGGGCTCTGCTCCCAGGGAACAGGGACAGGACAAGGGGAAATGGCCTCAGGCTGGGCCAGGGCAGGCTCAGCTTGGACAGCAGCAGGAATTTCTGCCTGGAAAGGGAGCTCAGGCCTTGGCAGGGGCTGCCCAGGGAGCTGCTGGAGTCTGGAAAGGTTTAGAAGAATTCTTGATTCCCTAAACCCTTACAATAACGAGTGGCAAAGCTTTGCCATGAGTTTTATTATTCCACGCAGGAAGAAAAAGAAGCAGAAACCATTTAGTTGAATATTGGTTGATAGATGTGAGCAAAAAGTGAGTGTCCTTCAGTGATGGGTGTAGGCAGGGAAAAGGCGGTGAGTTTGCTGAAGAAGGGATCTCAGAAAGCTGATTGTATGATTTTTGTAAAATTTATAAAATCACAGAACCCCAGGTTCACTTGGGTTGGAAAAGCCCTGTGAGACAATTGAGTGCAACCCTTCCCCAGCACTGCCCAGGCCACCACTGACCCATGGCCCCAAGTGTCACATCCTCAGGGCTTCTAAATCCCTCCAGGGATGGGGACCCCACCCCTGCCCTGGAGATCCCTTTCCAGGTGGGAATTGTTCCCAATATCCAGCCCTTCCCTGGACAGCCCTTTCCATGCAGGAATTGTTTCCAATATCCAGCCCTTCCCTGCCCTGGTGCAGCTGCAGGGAGCTGGGGCTGTCCCCTCTGTCCCCAGCACTGCAGGGTCCCGCTGGGCCAAGGTGACCCAGGGGTGCCCCAAAGCCCTGGGGACGTGGTGAGGAGCAGCCTGGCACTGCTGCCCTGGCACTGGCACGGGCAGGGCAGGGGAGGGGAGGGGGCTGCTCTGTGAACATCCTGGAGGGAGAACAGTTCCAGGAGGGGCAGGGAGGCCTCGTGTCCATTTTTCATTTCTGTGCCCAACTTCCTTGGGCTCAGCAGCCATGGGTACATCCCAGAGATGTTCCTGATTGCTAATTAGTGTTTAATTGTGGCATGCCACACTGGGCTGGGTGGGAGGGACCCCAGAGCCCCTCCAGTGTCACCCCTGCCATGGCAGGGACACCTCCCACTGTCCCAGTGTCCAGCCTGGCCTTGGGCACTGCCAGGGATCCAGGGGCAGCCCCAGCTGCTCTGGGCACCCTGTGCCAGGGCCTGCCCACCCTGCCAGGGAACAATTCCTGCCCCAAATCCCATCCAGCCCTGCCCTCTGGCACTGGCAGCCATTCCCTGGCTCCTGGCCCTGCAGGTCCTGCTGAGTCCCTCAGATCTGTGGGAATGAACAAATTCAGAGAGAAATAAATGTGGACATTTTCAGCATGTGAAGAATTTAGGGAAACTTTGAGTTTGGAATAGTCACTTCTGTGTGCATGATTTAAATTCTCTGTGGGGTCAGTAAGTGGTACAGAATAAAATTGTGATTTTCATAGGATTTCAAAGCAATTTAAGGAGGGGTTGGAATGAGCTTTAAGGCTCCTTCCAACACAAACCATTTCAGGATTTGGTGACATTGGGAAGACCAGGTGCTCATTCCCTGGGATCCAGAGGCTGTTGGATGAGTCGTTCTCCAGGGCCTTCCCACAATCCTGCTGCTTTCCAGGATGGAGCTGTTGCTGATAAATAAAAATTGCAGCACCTGATAGGAATGAGGCTGCACCTCCAGGGCAGGGGCAGGTTGGACATCAGCAGGAATTGATTCCACTGGTAGTCAGTGGTGCTAATTGGCAGTAATTGCCTGGTAATTGGCTGTAACTCCTGTCCGGGGCTCCTGTTTGAACCAATGTTAATCTGAATTTTAGTTTGAACGTCCCTTGAGAACTGGTGCAGCTCCACTTTGGAATGTTGTGCAGGAGCAGCAGTGAATTCCCCAGCAGTAATTAGCCAGGGTTGCACTTTGCTGGGATGTCAGTGAGGCAGAGCAGCACAAGGAGCTGCCAGGTCAAAGGAGCTGAGCTCCCCTGGCCATGGAATCATGGAATTAGCAGGGCTGGAAAAGACCACGGGCTCCCATGGGAACTCGGTGGGTGCAGCATCATTTTCACACTTAATTTTGTAAGTCAATATGGGTTTACACCCCATTTTATGGTCATGACCTGGGGCAGGTCCCCATTCCGGTGGGTGTGGCAGCACTTGCCAGCAGCATTCCCAAGGATCCAGCATCACTGATCACTGGTTTAGCACAAGTGAGGGGAGCTGTGGAAGGGGATAAAGTCACTCCTGCCTGTCCCAGCACCTTGGCTTTGCCTGGAAAGGACAGAAAATGGGGATGTGACTGTTCCTCCCCTCAAGATGTGTTCAGAGAGTGAGTGTAAAAATCCCTTAATGGGATGGGATTGCCCCGGGCTTAATTCCTGACAGAACCCCCAGGTAATTGGTTTATTTCCTAATCTTACATAATTGTGTTAAAACTTTCAATTGTCAGTATCAGAGCACTTAAAAGCCTCCCAGAACTTGTTCCCCAGTGCGGTGTCTGCGCTGATTTCCCAGGAATGCTGTAACAGGACTGGGGATTTCTGCACGTTCTGCCCTTTTCCACCTCACTGTTATATTTCCCAGCTCTCTCTGGCTGCACCCTGCCCTTCCCCAGCCTCACCTGCCTCCTGTCCTTGTTCCCCTCTCCAGAAATCCCCGGCCAAGAAGCTGAGCCACGCCATCAGCAAATCCCTGGGCTGCGTGCCCAGCAGGGACCCGCCCCGGCCGCTGTTCCCAGAGCAGCCTGAGAAGCCCCTGGACCTCGCCCACATCGTGTGAGTACCCCAGACCCTGTCCTCTGCCCCCCTGGGCACTGCCCCATGGTGTGAGTACCCCAGACCCTGTCCTCTGCCCCCCTGGGCACTGCCCCATGGTGTGAGTACCCCTGAGCCTGTTCCTCATCCCCCCTGGGCACTGCCCCATGGTGTGAGTACCCCTGAGCCCCTGCTCAGCCCTGGGCTCGGGGCAGGGAGCAGCCCTGGGCTGGGTGTGATGTTTTTCAGTGCTGTGATATAAATGTTTCTCTGGGGAATCATCAGCTGCTGTGGTTGTGAGAGGAGTCTCAGAGCTGCAGGAGGTGTTTGGTGCAGCTGCAGCCAGGCCTGGCTGTGTCCTGCCTGCAGCTCTGGCACCTCCCTGTCCTCACCAGTGGCACCTCCCACGTGTCCCTGCCTCGGGTCAGGCTCTGTTCTCTCATTCCTGGTTAATTAAATGATAGAAATGTGTCAGGCACATTGCAGGGGTCAGCTCCTGCTGCTGCCTGGGGCCTTGGCTTCACATCCCTGTCCTCTCTCCATGGCACTGCTGTCACCCTGCTCTTGGGACCTCCCTGTGCACCTGCTGGGATGGTTTGGACAGAAAACCGCTGCACTGGGGTTGGTTTGAGCAGCCTGAGGTCACTCTGCTTCCCCACCTTGTCAGTTTTCACCTCCAGAGTAAAAACTGAGAGGAAAAGACCCAAACAATCCGAGGTCAGTCTCCAGATAAATCCTAGTGTCCTGCAGAGGCTGGAGGAAAGCTCTTCACATGTGTAGGAGACAGTGAGGAGCAGCAGCACTGGGATCTAATTCCGGGAACATGGAGCACTCCCATTTCCATGAGCATGGAGCCATTTGCAGTCTGAGGGTGAGGGGAGTCACTGCTCTGGTTTTATTTGGCATCCTGAGTAGCAGATTCTCCTGGGAGTGGTTTCTGTGTCTCAGCCAGGACGTGGCTGTCCCTCTGCCCACCGTGGTCAGGCCGTGCTGCTCTGGGGTCAGATCCCGATGGTTCCATTGACTGCCTCTTCTGCTCGCTCCTTTAACAGTGTGCCATTCCTTAAGGAACAGCTGGAGGCTAAATTGCCAAAGTGCTGGACAGGTGAGACCTGCAGAGCTTTCTGTAGTGTGGCTTCCTGGTGTGAGCAGCGTAGAGCTCCAGACCTGCAGTGGTACCTGCTGCTCCAGGCTCGTCCCAGCCCAGCTTGGAGCTGATTCCTGCTTTGCTCTGTGCTTGTTCCCTCCAGTTCCTGCCTCCCTGAGGAGTCCCCACCTCTCCCAGTCTGGCTTTGGTGCTGTGCAGGGATTGCTCTGGTTCCATGGAATATAAATCCTGCTCTGCTTTCCTTGGGGCAGTTGCACCCAGACTGGGAAGAGCTCAGGGGTCAGTCCTGCTGCTGCTGCTCAGTTCAGAGCTGGAGCTCTCAGCAATTCATCCCTTCTCCAAACCAATGGCTCATCACACCCCGAGGGCAGGGCTGGCCACAGCATTGCCTATTCCTTCCCAGCACTTCCTGGCCTTTCCCTTCCCAGCCTGCCATTGTTCCTTTTCCAACACTTCATCCCTTTCCCAATCCTCCATCCCTTTCCCAATCCTCCATCCCTTTCCCAATCCTCCATCCCTTTCCCAATCCTCCATCCCTTTCCCAATCCTCCATCCCTTTCCCAATCCTCCATCCCTTTCCCAATCCTCCATCCCTTTCCCAATCCTCCATCCCTTTCCCAATCCTCCATCCCTTTCCCAATCCTCCATCCCTTTCCCAATCCTCCATCCCTTTCCCAATCCTCCATCCCTTTCCCAATCCTCCATCCCTTTCCCAATCCTCCATCCCTTTCCCAATCCTCCATCCCTTTCCCAATCCTCCATCCCTTTCCCAATCCTCCATCCCTTTCCCAATCCTCCATCCCTTTCCCAATCCACCATCCCTTTCCCATTCCATCCCTTTCCCTTCCCAGCCTGGCACTGTTCCTTTCCCAGGGGCTGTTGGATGGAGGGGGCAGCTGGGCAGGAGCTGGGGAATGCTCAGGGCAGGATCCCGGGAGCACGGCAGGACTGGATGGCCCTGGGAATGTGCAGGTGGGGACAGGGCTGGACACCCCCTGCAGGGACACTGGGACATGGGGACAGGGCTGGACAGCTCCTGCAGGCACATGGGGACATGGGGACAGGGCTGGACAGCTCCTGCAGGCACATGGGGACAGGGCTGGACACCCCCTGCAGGGACATGGGGACAGGGCTGGACAGCTCCTGCAGGCACATGGGGACATGGGGACAGGGCTGGACACCCCCTGCAGGGACACTGGGACATGGGGACAGGGCTGGACACCCCCTGCAGGGACACTGGGACATGGGGACAGGGCTGGACAGCTCCTGCAGGGACATGGGGACATGGGGACATGTCACACCTCCTGCAGGGACTGGGACAGCTGCCTGGACACTCCTGGCAGCAGTTTGGCAGCTCAGAGACATCTGCTCTGTGCTGACAACTTTAATGAAATGTAAAAAACAACGCCCTAAAAAGCCCAAGGATTGGGAAGGAGGCCCTGATGGTCCAAGGACAGCTCTGGGAACAGCAGGTGCAGAAATTCTGGAATCAGGGGGTTTATATCCAGCACCAGATCCCATGGAAATCCCAGGGACACCATCAAAGAGGAGCCACTGGGGTTTATGGAAGGGACATTTGGGGTTCTGTGGTACCCCTGAAGCAGCAAAAATTACAATGAACCCCCCTCCTGTGGTTTTGGGGTGTGAGAGGGGCTGTAGCCAGTGGGGATTTTCTGATGGAACAAACAGGAATTGCTCCAGGCCCCAGAGTCACTCCTGGGGTGTCAGGGACCAGGGGTTGATTGTATTTGATTTGTGTAAAGGAATCAGCACCTACAGATAAATCCTGGGGGAGAGACTCTGGAAAAGCTGAGATCTGCTCCAGCTGAGTAAATAAAGAATGAAAATATTAATAACTAGGGGCAGTTTAACAATACTTGGCCAAAGATTCCAGGGAAAACAAGGCTTGGAAGGGAAAAAAATCCCAGCTGTGCTCTTTGCCGGGGACAGGAAACACAAAAATGGGGAGCAAGGAATGTAAACCAGGAGTTGGAAGTTGGTGCTGAGCCGTTTCCAGGCTGTGCTTTGGCACAGGGGCAGCGATGGTGCCAGGAGCAGGACTCGCCTTCCCAGGGGGCTGGAGCGTGTCCAGGGCAGGGAACGGAGCTGGGAAGGGGCTGGAGCGTGTCCAGGGCAGGGAACGGAGCTGGGAAGGGGCTGGAGCCCCAGGAGAGGCTGAGGGAGCTGGGAAAGGGGCTCAGCCTGGAGAAAAGGAGGCTCCGGGGGGACCTTGTGGCTCTGCACAAGTCCCTGCCAGGAGGGGACAGCCAGGAGGGCTCGGGCTCTGCTCCCAGGGAACAGGGACAGGACAAGGGGAAATGGCCTCAGGCTGGGCCAGGGCAGGCTCAGCTTGGGCAGCAGCAGGAATTTCTGCCTGGAAAGGGAGCTCAGGCCTTGGCAGGGGCTGCCCAGGGAGCTGCTGGAGTCTCATCCCTGGAGGTGTGCAGGGAAGGTTGGACTCCATGGGCTGGGAGGGATTTTCCATCCCCGGTGATTTTGGGCTTCTGTGGGGTGACCCAGCAGGATGCTGGATTGCTCTGTGTGGTTTCAGTCCCAGCTGTACTGTGAGGTCATTTCCCAGTCTGGGCTCTGCTGGGAGCACTGGAGAGGTCCCTGGAAGCAGATCCAGGTGATGTCACCCCCTGGGGACAGGCCAGGAGGTCACTGGGACACACTGGGACAGGGCTGGTGGGCAGGGAGAGCTGCCTGGCTGGGCTGGCAGGAACGGGGGACCTGGAGCCCCCCTCAGCCCCCAGGGTCCTTCCTGATTAATGAAATGCAAATGAATTCTCTGGGGTTGCTGCCATATTGTGTTAATTATGAGCACTGGAAGATTGGAAAGACAATAAACAAAACCCCACCCAGACAGGAGATGGGGAGGAATGGGAGTTTGGAACAAGATCAGCTCTAAGGTCCCTTCCAGGCCAATCCATTCTGGGATTCCATGATTCCATGGAAATTGTTTATCCCCTTGGCCCCAGTGGAGCTGCAGGAGGAAGGGGCTTTCAGGCAGAGTTCTGTGCCATTAACACTCGTTTCCACCAGGAGGAGAACGAATAAAATAGAGGGGAGTGAGGAAATATTGGGAATGAAGCCAACTGAATGTGCTGAGCAGAACAGCTCAGCAGCAGATATTGGAGGTCATGGTCTGCAGGTGGCTGAAGGGGCATTTCAGGGTGATTTTGTAGCCAAGGATGATGATTTGGAAGAACCAAGGGGCCTGAGGTCAGTGGAGATGGTTCAGGGGCTGGAAACATGTTTGGGGGTGTGGGCAGCTGTCCAGCCAGGCACTCAGGGAATGCAGGGGGGACCCCCAGGGGCTAAGGAATGGTTGGATAGCTCTGAAAATACCAATCCTAGAGAAATTAAACATAATCCTGGAACTTGGGCAGATGGGCTTAACAGGGGGCAGGAGCTGAAGGGAGACACCTTCAGAATAATGAATATGAAATGTGAAAATCGAGAATCCCAGACTGGAAGGGACCTCAAAGGCCACCCAGTGTCACCCCTGCCATGGCAGGGACACCTCCCACTGTCCCAGTGTCCTTGGGCACTGCCAGGGATCCAGGGGCAGCCCCAGCTGCTCTGGGCAATGGAACAAAATGTTTTCAGTAATGAATGTAAGGAAATAATTGTTAGAATCTGTTACCCAGGTGGTGCTGGAATTTCCACCACTTTAGCACCAGGACAGGAGTGTTTATAAATCCACTCAGATGTTCCCTGTGTGATGGAAGCTCCATTATCTCAGGGTTTCTCACTGCTTTAGGAGATAGGAAAAATGCAGATAAAAATGTTAAATTCCTGACTCTGAGGCTCCATTTGCTGGATCCACTGCTGGAGCCCTGGGCCTACATCCCTGAGGGAATCAGGGATTTGCTTCCCTCACATTTCCAGGAATAAGTGAGTTTTTCTGAAGCCACTTTCACTGAGATTCCTGCAGCCAGGCTGGGTCAGGAATAGCAAAAATGGAAATTCTGCAATTTCCTGCTGCTTTGGTGCATTCTGCATTCCCTGATCTCCCTGCATCCTCCTCCAGGTTGTAGCTGTTGCTCTGCTCCCAGGGAACAGGGACAGGACAAGGGGAAATGGCCTCAGGCTGGGCCAGGGCAGGCTCAGCTTGGACAGCAGCAGGAATTTCTGCCTGGAAAGGGAGCTCAGGCCTTGGCAGGGGCTGCCCAGGGAGCTGCTGGAGTCTCATCCCTGGAGGTGTGCAGGGAATTCCTGGATGTGGCACTCAGAGCTCTGGGCTGGGGACAAGGTGGGGATCAGACACAGCTGGGGCTCCATGGGCTGGGAGGGATTTTCCTGTTCCTTTCCAGGGATTCTGTGTCCAGGTGGGAGATTCCTGGCTGTTGGAAAATAATGCCATGGAAATCACATTTGGGTTTAGGTGTCAGCTCACCACTGACAGGCTGCCCTTTTTCAGAGTGGCAGAGTGTGATGGAGAGCGCTGGTGCCTGCCTGTGCTGGGTTTGGTGAAGCAGAGATGCTGCCATGGCTCACTCCTTCGAAGTGCTCCCTCACCACCCTGGGCTGTGGGGAAATTGCATTAGCAGCCACCTAATGCAAACTCCTGACATGAAATCCTTGATTCTGAAGGGTTCTGGAGGTGGCACAGCCACTGTATGGCAGGGCTGGATGGGATTTGGGGCAGGAATTGTTCCCTGGCAGGGTGGGCAGGCCCTGGCACAGGGTGCCCAGAGCAGCTGGGGCTGCCCCTGGATCCCTGGCAGTGCCCAAGGCCAGGCTGGACACTGGGACAGTGGGAGGTGTCCCTGCCGTGGCTGGAGCAACCTGTGGGTTTGGTTTTCCCAGGAGAATTCTTTCCCCTGTTCCACTGTGGAACCAGGAGCAGGATCTGGATCTGGAACAGGAGCAAGATCTGGAGCAGGATCTTGAACAGGAGTAGGATCTGGAGCTGGAGCAGGAGCAGGATCTGGAGCTGGAGCAGGACATGGAGCAGGAGCAGGATCTCGAGTAGGATCAGGAGCAGGACT